GAAGCAGGCACATGTCCCAGCAGCCCAACAAAGCAGTCCTTGTTACTCTGTTTTCTGCTTTCCTCAAAACAATTTCTTGGTTGACACTTTTTTCTTTTTTTCCCCTGTGTCTATCTGATTCTAATTATTTTTTAATGAACTCTCTCAAGTCCATGTTTCTTGTGGACATTTGAACTTCCTGGTGCACCCAGCCTGTGCTCAGGAGATGTTTCTGGTTGGCTCTGAGTTAACCCTTTGGGGTCTGTGTTCTCAGGGAGCTGGGTGTCCTTTCCTTCCCTTGTACAGGTGATCTCAGGCACAGAGAGCACTGCTGGCAATGCAGGCTGTCCCTGACCTGGTGGCCTGTTTCAAAGTTTAATTCCTATAGAGTCAGAAAAAGCTATGGATCAGATTGGGCCTGTAAAGCTTGACTGGAAGCATGGGATGAGCAAAGAGCTCTCAAGACTGTAAACATCACTCAGCCACCCAGAGCAGCAGGGAAAGTACTGCTGATAAACAGATTTCTCAGTAACAGGCTTCTCCTTTGACATGGATCAAGCCACAGATGCTGCAGGTATGGTCATCCCCTTAAATCAGTACAGCAGGAGCACCTTTTGGGCTTTAAATTTCCCATTTTCTCATCCATTTGCTTGTTCTTGATGTACTTTTGCAGACTGTGCAGTTGCTTTATGTCCATCCTGAGAAGAGGGAGACAAATTCCCCCCAAAGAGGAGAAGGCAGGATGTGGATTGTGAGTTCAAACTTCATCCTCTTCCTCCTCCTTTTGCTGCTCAGGTCTGGCTTGGGAGTGTAACCACTGACAGACCCTTTGCACAAAAATAAACTTTTATTCTGATGGGGAAAAAGCCCTTTTGTTTTGATGGGCAACAGGGACCTTGGGCTGCACCTTGGGTGTTCTTAGGGAGCTGGCTGGAGCTGAGACCTCAATTCCATCCCAGTGTAATGGGAATTCAGGGTTATCTCCTTCACAGGTGATGGTGAAAGCCAACAGCAGTGAGATTTCTTTCTCCTGCATGGCCTCTCAGTAAACTGCCCTTGCCAGGGAGAAGCCTGGAAAGGCTTGGAGTTAAAGGGATTTTGTTTTGGAAGTTTACTTGCAGGCTTTCACAAAGAGAACTGCCCTGTGCTGCTGCCATGGCCTGACCAGTCAGACAAGTGCAATTGTTGTGTCCCTGGGACAATTGGTGCAATTGCTGCAGCTGTGACTCAGCTGTGCTCCTGTGCCAGGTCGCTTCTGGCACCCTCAGTCAGCCCAGGCTGCACAAAGGCCTCTCTCTCTCTCTCTCTCTCTGTCTGAGGTCTCTGGCCTGGTGCTGCTCCTGGCAGAAGTTGGGATGATTTTGCTCAGGAATTCCTTGTGCAGCTCCAGCTGAGCCCAATGCCCACAGCAGGTGTCACCTTGGGAAGACACCTATGGGTGGGTTTGAAACAAAGGCAGGTTCTTGATCTCAGGCTGTCTTAGGGAAGTTGGCTTTTACCCATGGCTGGATTCAATAATGACAAAAATCCATGAAGACAAGCCCTCCCCTTAAGCTGTCTGTGGCATTTTGCCTCCTGTGTTTTCTTCCTCCCCCTTGTCTGGGTTTTGCTGTCAGCTCTGGATGCAGGAGCCTTTCACAGGCAGGTGCTGAGCAGATGCAAAGGGAATTTCTTGCTAACTTGGCAGTGAGGTTTGCTTTGCCCACCTGAGGTACATTACAATTGTTTAATTCAGATTAGGATTTTAGTGTTAGGTGTTGCTTTACACAAGATAAGCTCTGCAGAGGGAAGCAGAGGTGATAGCTGAGAGTGTGGCTGTGCTGCCTCAGCCTGGCTGTTGTGAGGACTCTGGTAGAAGTGGTTTGGGTGAAGGGGGTGCTGCAAATGCAGCTGGTTTCTCAATGCCTGTTCCCACCCACCCCCTTGCTGTGCCTGCTGCCTGCAGTTGTGTCACCTGTCCCCACTGTGACAGGCAGCTCCTCTCCTCCTCACCTGCAGAGACTGGAACAAGGAGCCAGCTGGTGTCCTCACCCCTCCAGTCAAGGTGCCAAAGGGCAGCAGGCTCCTGGCTGGGCAGAGCCAGCAGAAATGCAGCCTCTCCAGCACAAGCTTTGTCCCGCATTAGCAGCCAGATTAACGCCATTCAGGAGCTCCAGGGACAGGAGCTGGATGTTAGCACAGGCATAACCCATATTTGCATGGCCATATCTGTGTCCTTGTGAGATTATAGCCCACATGGCATGTGACTGCAGTGTGGAATGGCTCTCCTGCCTTATCATGTGTACACTTGGCTCTGCAGAGCACTGAGAGGGCCTTGAGTTCCCCTTGCAAAGCCAAGGCTTTGTTCTCCCTTTCAGTGCTGGCTGCACTTGGAGCTCAGCCAAAGCCAGGGATGTGCAAGTGGGAGGCACAGATGGACTTCTCTGGGCAGCCTTCATCTGAGGAGCTTGCTGGATTTAGAAGTTGTCCATCACCCTGGTTCACTCCTGAGAGATCAGGCATGAGAGAAGCCTGTGGCTGTGTCCTTCCCCCTCCTTGGGGAGACAACACTGCTTTCTCCTGGGAAGCCTCTCTGCTGGAAGGTGGTGTAAGAGAGACCACATCTCTGGAAGTCTATCACATTATCCTGCCTACCTGCAACAGGAATGCTTTGAAAGGATGTTCTAATTGGATGGGGAAAATCAGAGTACAAACAGATTATGTCTCTCCTGTTTCTCCCCATGAAGGAAAGGAGCCCAAGTGCCAGTCAAACACACTGTACTGAAACAGTGCACCTCAGGGAAAACTCTTCCCCTGACAGCTCTCCTGTGAATATTAATTTCTATATTTGAGTGCCTTCATCTTCCAGGAGCTGTGCAAGTGCAAACATTAACCAACTCCTCTGGTGCAGCAGCTCTTGCAGTGCAGAGCAGGCATGGAGCCAAAAAGGAAGCAGTTGTGAAGATGTTATGTGTCTGCTGCTGGTTGTTATTTGCTGCTTTGGGCAGATCTACCATGATTACCACGTGTGATGTGATGAATCTGGTGTGTATAATATATGCAGGCACTTGATATGGTATTTATGTACTGATAGGTCACAGGAAGGAGAGCTGATAACACAGATAAATGCACAGGTATTCTGCATTGTACTTAAACCAACTGTCTGTACATGTGGTTTAGTTAAACATCAACCCCAGACACTGCTGCCAGATGTACTGCAGTGCAATGCTCAATAGGAATTGTAATCAGGAATGTTTTCCAGCAACCTGTCCTTACCAGGAGGGTGGTGAATGCTCCATTTGATGGAATGATTAATGATACTCAGCCACTGCTCGGACTGTAGGGGTGGAGGCTTTGTTAACTCCATCTGGAAATTCCTTCCCTGGTGATGAAGATGATGTTCTCCCTGCAGCTGGGTGCCTATTGGCTCCACTTACCAAATCTTGTGCCAGGGGAAGGGATCTGAAAGAGAACTTGGGCCAATTTTTGTTTCTGTGTGGCAACATTAGAGGCATCTGAACTGCCAGAGCAGTTCCTTTCTGGTACCTGCAGGGAATTGCTTATTTAACCACTTGTTTGCAACTAATGTGGTCTAAACACAAGTGGGATTGGTGACCAGTGGTGTGTGGAAACCAGAAACACATCTGCATCTCTTTTATCCACCTCAGGTGTGTTCCAAGAGAGACAGACACAGGCAGCCAAACCCTCCAGAGTGCCCAAAGGGATAAGTGACCAACCTCTGCTGCTGGTGCTCCTTCTCAATAGTATTTTCAGGTATTCCTGCACTATTTTAGTCCTCCAGATGTTTGTCTTCAACTTCTCAGCCAGCTGTTTGTGAGCTGAGTGTTGGTGTTTGCCAATGTCCTATCACTTTTATAGCTGCCTGAAGTCCTCAGGAACTGAAAGAGCATTATCAGCTTCCTCCACACTTCTTCAACTTGCAGCCTGTGAGAAACAGGGTAGTTAAAGGCTTTTGTTTTTATCGTGCTTTGTGAGTTTTTAGGGGTTTATGCAAATTAAAATAGGCATTATTAATGAGATGTTAATGAGCCTATCCCTTAGGTGCTACTTATAAAATCAAATCTGTAAGAAGTTAGGTATCTCTTTGTACTGAAAATAATTTGACTTCTTTTGTTAATCTTTTGGATGATGGAATATGAACTCTCTAGGTGATACCAGCCTTGGTCACTTCCTCTCCCCAATGACTCAGAGAAGGCTGGAAAATGATGAGCCTGGTACACATCTCCCAGTTGGTGCTGCCTGGGGATGGGGCAGGGGACAGCATCTCCCCTCTCTGAGCCATGGCACCCCTGATTTCACAGCCCCCTTGGTGGCAGAGGCTCTCAGTTCTGGATCTCCTCTGGAGGATTTTGGTGTCTGTCCCAGCCACGTTCTTTGTTTGGTTTTGGTTTTTGTGTCCCGGGGTTCCAAGGGCAGTGAAGCTCAGGCTGGTGGCAGCATTCAGCTCTGTCCCTGTGCTGCCAGTGCTGCCCTTTGCGTGCTCACCCTGCCTCTCCTCTCACTGCTGTGCTCCCGCCCCAGGGCCCTGAGCCTGACCCTCGTGCACAGAGGGTGCCTCTGCTTGGAGTGCTGAACTCCCACCAAAGCTGACCTCAGTTCATGGATATTCCAGAGGAAGTCAAGTTTTGGTTTTCCTTGTATTTTGGCTTTATTCAAAGGAAAAAGCAAGGAAGTTCCCCTCCAGTCTGTCAGGAGAAGTGGCTTCGTTTCTCTTTCTTAAAGCTTTGAGCAGCCTGTTATTCCTAAAATAAACCCAAAAAAGGGCAGTCTATGTTATACTTTGGGTCTCTTGTATGGTGGTGCAGGGGAGTAGCTGTAGTGAAACAGGCTCTGCTGAGATTGGCAGGAGGAAAAAAAAGCAGAGCATGGTATTTATTTCTGTGATGTTCTGATGCCCTCCTACCAGGCTGGAAATGCTGAACGTGAGCCTTTGTCTGGCATATGGGGATTTGGAGAACTGTTGCTAATTACAGCACTTGTGCTATCTTGCTTAAATGGCTTAAATAATATATTAAGTGCCTTTATGATCTCCCACAACATGCTGGAATGCACAGAAGTGCATATTCTGCTGTTTATAGCTTATGGCAGGAGTAACTTAGAGAATATTAATCTGCCCCAAAAATGGGGTTGGAGATTTATTGCTTGTGTAACTCCCCACGGGGTCTCTAGATGCTCAGATCCCATTGTGCACGGTGTTATCCACGAATTTCCATCTTGGGAGGTGAAGTTTAATCAAAAGGAAAGACACTTGGATGGCCGTAGGGAACACAGGGAAGGGTCATGGCACACTGCTGGCCAAGCATTGTGGAGTTAGTCTCAAACTGGCAAAGGTAAAAAATGTGGGACCTGGAGGAGACCACAGGAAGTCTCATTCTAACTTACTTAAGGAGTATTCCCATTATTTTCATTAAAATCTAAAATTCTAAATTAGAAACATGTTACTAAGCATCATATCTAGAAGTGGGAGTGTTCCTGGGCCTAGATTAGCACTTATCCAGAAAAAGAAAGGTATTATGTCTGCTCAGGAATCTTTTTTTTACCCCTTTTCATGTTTTTATTTAGCAAAAATTCTGTTAGTCATCTGTTTCCACCCAGATTCCCATGTCTCTTGCTTCTAAATCTCCAATTTCTATTTCTGCTGTTGTACCTAATGTTTAGAGAAAATGTGAGAAGAGCGTGCTGTGAATGTCTGGTGTGAGGAATAACTGTGGAGCAGCTGAGCAGTGCTAGCCAAGGGCTGCAAGAACCTGGGAGGGCACATATTGAGGGGGAACACAAATCACAAAGTGACAACAATGAAAAGATTGGCACATTCTGACCCCTAATCTGTTTGACATAGCTCTCTGTAAAATCACAAGTTCTGTTAGAATATGCTACTAATTAGCAATATTTCACCTATCTGAAATTAACAGGCTCTGCAGAGTAGGAATAAAGAATTATTTTTGTCTGGTTTATCTTGCTAGTAGCTTGAAAACAGGGAGGTGAGAAACTTGTGTCAAATCTTGAAGTATAATTTTGCAATTAAAAGACTGAGGAGAAAGTGTGATCTGAAGACCTTTGGATTCCTTGCCGTGCCATAAAATTAACAGCTCTCTTCATTCTCATTCTGGTTTAATATTCCTGCAGAGAAGGAAGCAGAAAGAACTCCCTGGGCTGGCTGCAGGGGGATGGAGGAGCTGTTACTTAGGCAATAACAGGGCACAGGCTGGGAGGGGTTTGGGCTGGCATTAGCTGGGTAATGCCTGCACAATGCTCTGGATGTTACAATGTGATTTATATCTAAAGCTAAAACCAGAGAGGTGCTCTCTGGGAGATAGGAAACTGTTTGCAAGCACCTCCTGATTGGCTTCCCAGAAATTTTCAAGGTCATCCATGCACCAGCTTGCAGGGATGCACAGCTGGCACCTCAGCACTAAAGCCAGAAGAATCTCAACTCAAAGGCTGTTAGTGAAATGTGTGGGTAAAAATAGAAGGATAAATTGAAACTACCTGAAAGTGGAAGAAACAGCTGGGAAGTGATAAGAGAAAGCAAAATGAGTGAAGAAACTCTTGCCCATCATTGTGGTGTCCGAGTGCTTTGTAAAAACTTCAAATTGCTCCTTCCTTGGATATACCAATTTTCTTTTTCAAACTGTGACAATCTGGCAACCTTCATCTACCCTGAACTTGTCTTCTATTGCTAAGAATCTGCTCTAGACTCTACTCCATACTCCAGGCCTAAATTTTATTACAATTGCTGGGTCAAAAGCTCTTCTGGGAGTACCTTGACTTTTACCCAGAGGCTGAGTGAGTACCAAAGGCTTTTATGGATCAATTAACCATACATTTTGTAAATAAATATACATGCAAATACTTAATAAGGTAGGCAAAATTCTGATGAACCCCTAATGCTTTACCTTGCTACATGTGCACAATCAATCCATAAGAGTGGCAAAGCAAAATGTTGTCAGAGCTGCATGTTCAGCAGTGATCTCTCATGTTTGGGTTTGGGAATCCTCTGGAACACAAGGACAGGCAGTGAGTGTTCAGCTGAAATGACAGGAAAACAACCTGGTTGTCAGTGTCCTGCAGGGGCTCTCTGCTGGATCCAGGGCTGGGGTGGCCTGAGCAGATGGCAACTCATCAGACTGTTTTAGTTGCCTTCTTGTCTTGATCAAACAGTTTTTCATTGGCTCTGATTACAGGCATGATGCCATCTTAGATAATGCCTCTTGATAAAGGACTGTAAGATCCTTAATTACTATTATTAGCCATTTGACACCATAAAATAGAGGTCTGCTGTTTTAATGCCTGTTTCCCCCCTGTCTGCAGGATGTCTGGAGTCTTTAACAAAAACAGGGAGGTGGAACTTTTAGAACCTGATCAGAGGTAATGTGTGCATGCCAGCAGAAAAATGTGTGTGTGTGTGCACATTTGGATGTGCCATTGTCCAGAGCTCTTTCACTCTGTGTTGGGAGAGCACTGAACTGAGACATCAGCCTGTTGGCAGGGGCACCAAGGCTGGCAGGTTGCTCTGTTTGGGGATGTCCTTTGTTCAATGTTTGAATCGTGTGAAACCTTAATTAGCAAATAAGAAGCTTTGGCCTTCCCTTGCAAGTTCTGAAGCAGAATTAAGGCAAGTGCCAGGATGTGCCAAATGACACAACAGCTCTGGCTCTGTGGCTTTTGTTTTGCTCTGCTGCCCTGCTGTTTTGAGATGCGCTTCCCACTGGATCAGCTGCTGGCAAAATGTTCCCCAAGTTGGTCTGTGTTTGATGCTTTGGTGTTGCTTTCTCTGTACACAACAATCAAAGTGCTGCAGTGCTGGGGATGCTGTGAGCAGCAGCCTTTGAGCTGAGAAGAAAGCAGCCCTTTCTTTGCAGGGGAGAGGTGCCTGTGGTGCATCCCTGCCTGCTGTGTGCTGTGCTCTGAGGGCCACACAGACTCCTCCTTCCACCAGGCAATCTGGGCCTTCCCAGAGCACAGTCAACATGAGTCACTTCTTGCAAAGCCACTCCTTTCATTTGATCTGGTATTAATTATTTGCACTTCCTCCTGTCACAACGCCGGTGTTTTTTACTGCCCTGGATGGAACTGCAGAGAAATCCTTTACCTCCATTCCAACACCACAGTGGTTTCTGTCTACAAGGGAGCACAGAATTGCTTTTACCAAATACATTTCTTCTCCCATTGTTTCCTGATGACAGATACTACTCTTAATCTACACAGAGACAACACTTTGAAATGGGAGATCTCTATTTCCCTCAATTGTTGGTACGTTGATAAATCATAGCATGTCTCATTTTCTGAATGACACGTGTCTGGATTGCAGTCTGCCTCTTTTTTGTCACAGTTTTTCAGTGCTAACAACAGTCTTGCCAAAGCTCATCTGTTCCCTTAGTGTGCACTCCAGCAGGCTGATTAATTCTGTCACACTTTCCCTGTATAAGGCATAATCAAACAGGTTGATAGAAAAGCGGGAAGGACGTGATGTTTTTATGAATATCCAAGGCATTACACTTAACTCCTGACTGCCATTAGCTGTGGCACCCTGTTACTCCTGGGTTGGAGGAGCGGCAGCAAAGTCTGCCAGGAAGGAAGAGTTTGTCACTGTTCTTTGTGGGCCTCAAGTGTGATCGTGCCATCCTTCCACGCACAGGGAAGCCTTGCTTAGGAGAATATCAAGAGTGGAGGGTGCCTTATGGTGTTTTCTTCTCTGTCTCTCAAAGGCAACTGCAGGAAAAGTGGGGGACCACTTACCCACAAACCTTAAAATAGCTGTGAACGTGTGTGACGTGCCTCACTTTCCTGGGCTGTGGAGATCTACTATTAATAACAGGAGTGAAATTATGGATTGAGCAGTGATGTGAGCAGCGCTTCTGAGCAGCTTTAAACCTGTCACGGGCTCCCCGAACACAAACAGCCAGGGCTCAGAGGCTCAGCAGAAACATTCATTAATTGTCTCCTAAAGGGGCGGCAGAATTAAACAGAAGTAGCCGACGGGTCAGGTGAGGTCTGAGGGATGCTCTCACTTCCCTTGCTGCCCTTTCCAGTGCCTGGGCAGTGCCATCCAAGCCCTGTTCCTGTACCTGCCACAACCTGATGTACAGGTCTGGCGTTTGGCACGTGTGGGTGTGCAGAGCAGGGCTGTCACTCCTGCCTGTGCAGCAGTGCCTGTCACCCCCACACTGAGCTGTCACCGGAGCTCAGCCCTCTGGGACAGAGGGACGCTGTTCTCTCCCCGTCCCCGCCCCGCTTGGAGCTCACCAGGAAAAAGGAGGGGAGGAGGTGGCTGCTGCTGCTGCCGGGAACCAGCAGGGGATGATGCCAGGGCAAGGGCCTGGCTGCTGGGACAGGGGGGTGGGGATGGGGCAGCTGCTCCAAAAAGTCATGGGAGTTCTGGGAAGAGGGGATCTCTAGGGCAGGTGTGAAAAGAGAAGTGCCCTCAAACTGGAAATGAGGGGAAAAATCCCAATCGTCTCACTCTGAGAGTCCCCTGGCTACACCACACTGCAGCCCTGGTGAGCACTGCCCTCATTAGCATGTCCCTTCAACAAGGGGGATGACTTTCATTTCATTTTGAAATACTTTTTTTAAATGACATTTTTCATTTTCCCCTGCAGTATTCCACTACAAAGCTCATACTGGCAATAGTGTGGGAGTACAGCCTACATGACAACAGTAGGAGGGACCTGGTAAGAATCTGCTCCTTTTATTTCCCCCTGAGTTCATTTAAATCTGTCACACTCTGCTACCACCCTAAGCCACTTGTTTCCTAGAAAATGTGGGATGTGATACAAGTTTCACTTTGAATATTGTTCTGTTGTTCTCTGAGGAAGCCTTTTGTATTTCCTCTCTCTCTGATAACATCAGAATCAGGCTGGCAGATGATGATTCGGGGTATTTTTCTCATTCACCAGTTCACTGTAATTAGATGAGGCCATTTAGCCCTGACCACTGCAGACCTGATTGAATCCTCTTATTGCATCTTGATCTCTCTTCCACTTCCTACTCTTCTCAAATATTTGGGATGTGCTCTGCCACACTCCTGTCAGGGCTGTCTGAAGCAGGAAGGGGTAAAATTGTCCTGTGTTTGTCCAGTGCCAAGAAAAGTCCTTTAAAAAAATAACAATATCCCAGGGCAGGGAGACAGGTATTGGGGCAAGAGGCACCGATTTAGAGACCAGCAACCAAGCTGCATTTTTGGCTTCTGTTTTAGTGAACATGAATCAGGAAATCCTAAGGCCTTACAGTGCTGTTCTCAGAAGTGTTTCTGAGCCACTGCAGCAGTTCCTCTGCTGTTTGGCTCATCCCTTTTGAGTTCAGGCCTTTGCAGGGCAGCTCCAAGCCCCTCTCCTTGCAGTGCCTGCTGTGGGCTGAGCTGGGGCCCGGGCTGTGGATTTGCCCCGTTCCTGAGCCCTGGACTGCAGCAGCCTGGCAGAGCCCCACAGCTGCTGTGCTGCCAGGCTCCTGCTGCTCCTGTGCAGCTGGAAATACCTGCTCTGCCTCAGAAATACCTGCTCTGCCTCAGATCCTTGACAGCCATGCAGAGACACTTAAAGATATTTGCTAAGTGCTCGTGAATTAGTTTTTGATTAGCGAATAATTAAATAAATTCCAGCAATCCAAAGGACACGTGCCCAGTTCGATTTGCATACGTAGCACTTCTCTGTGACAAGAGAGGAGCTCAATTCATCCAATGCAAGTCTGAATTCGCTGTATCTTAATTTGATTTACCTTTGACACAGCATTTAAATAGCAGCAACATTTAATCTTGTGCTCCCCAATAAGGCTTCAGTAAAAACTTACTGCCAGATCTAATCCAGGGTTAGCACACACTGCCTTATCTCTGGGTTCTTGCTTCAGTGCCTTTGAGAACATGCTTAATTTAATCTGAACAAAGACACTGCCATCGGGAGCTCCAGCCTGCCTTTCCAATCCAGGGGATCTTTGTGATTAAATTTGGTGCAGGCCACCGTGTGTACAATGGGTCCAGTAAATGATTTTGAAGTGCTCTTCAAACAGAATTCTGCTGGTTCTTGGACACTGTCTGTACCTCTGGCACATGAGGGATGCTGCTCTAGTTGGGTTTTTCCTAAAGTGTCATACCTAAAGTGTCACACCTTTTCTTTGGAAAGGGCTCTGGGTTTTTGGTCAATAGGAAGTGTTAGCCATTATTAAGAACCATCACTCCATCCCTTTTCCTTCCCACAGTGGAAGGAACTCCTCCCAGAGGGTTCTGCTTCCTCACTGCACCAAATACCCAGTCAGCTGTTTGTGACTGTAACCTGGTGGCAGGGTCTGATTTGTAATTATAATTTCAGTCATTCATTTTTTTCATTATTTAGCTGTCATTAAACCCCCCATACTGCCTGATAATCTCTCCTGCCTGAGAGGGGGGTTTGTGTGAACTGTCAGCAGAGGTTCTGTCTTGACATCACAGATAAAAATGGAATAATTCTGCAAACTGTGGTGGCTGCAGAGGCATTGGGTCAGAGTTGTCCTGGCAGGGTCCCTCAGTGCTGGGTGTAGACAAAACAGGGCTGGCAGTGTCCTGTGATCTCTGGTGAGCCCTGGTGCTCAGGGGCTGGCTGTTGCTCTCTAGTAAGAGCCTGAGGATAAACAGGCATGGAGAAATTGGCCTGAAAAGCAGCAGGAATCGGTGTGGAGCTGCCCTACCCCAGCTTCCTGCTCTAATTGCTTTCTCTAACTGCTCTGCCAGCTCGGGGCTGGCTGGCTCCCAGTGCTGCTCCTTCCAGGCAAAATGGGACTTGGTCATTATCTTTGTAATTCAGAGGAGAAACCAAAACATTAAAATATTATTACTGGACCTAAGGTCACACAGAAACACGACAGAGAAGTCAGGAATTAAACCCCATCTCCTCAGCTGAGAGTTAATGCTTGAAGAAAGGGATCCATCACAACCAGAGCATGGCTCTAGGGGTGCCATGGAATATTTCTCTTAAGCACAAGATAAAACAGATTTCTCCAGCTGTGTCTGGTATTGCCAACTTAGGCTTTTGATTGACATGTTGCCATGTTTGTTGAATTCACTCTCAGACGTTTTAAGGAGTGTATTTTGTATCTAAACTGAAAGCTGCTTGGTGAGGAACTGTGTTGAGTAGAGATATGTAAAGGTAGGGTAGGAATAAGAGGATATATATATATATCAAGGCAGCTTCTATCCTCTCATTCCTCTGCTGCCTTTACATTTACCTTTGCTCTTTAAATGATAAATACATAATCAGTGGCTGATGAGTGAAGCATATTTCCACCAATTAAATTTATATTTTTAAAAATCACTTAAGTTCTCTCCCTCATCCTCATAAGAGAGGTAAAAGGTCCCTTTGTGGCAGATTTTATGCTTGAAAATGATAAGGTTTTTTTGATATGCCACAAATCTAAGATAAAAAAGAATTCAGAAAAGATACAAGGAGGCTTTATGGAGGTTATTTCATTTGTAGTGTGTTTGCACTTGGATTACATGAGGAGAAATTTGGCCTTGGAGCCTGTGTCTCTGTAAGCAGCATTCCTGGCTTTGCATATCAGATATGAAATTTGTTTGGAATGTTTGCTATAAAAATACCTACGCATGAACTTACATCAGCGAGAAAGCAACTCTGGCTTGACCTTTCTGCAGCTCCATGTGGCAAGATCACTCCGTGCAGAAACAGTAACTGAGGGAATGACTCGCAACTGGTGTTTTCACAGGCTTTGTTTCAGGGCAGGAACAATCCTTGGAACAAGCTGCCCTTAGAAATCAGTGTTTTCTTTCAAACTCCTTATTTTCTGCTCGGGAGTGACCCAGGGTAGGTTACCAGGCTTAATGTTGTAACAAAGCCATTTGGGAAATCCTCCCATTCTGTGTCAGTCCTGGGCTGAATACTAAAAGCAAACATGCTGGAGAACAGCAAAGGGCAGGGGTAGTTTTGATCCTTTTACAATTCAGCCCGTGTTTCTGTTTCAGACAGTGAAAAGACATTTTAATGGAACAGGAACCTCCTACTGTCACCCCATGCCTGCAGCCCTGCGACTTAGATGACTTTTTGAGGAGAACCACCGTGCCCTGAGAGGTTTGAGGGGGCTGAGGGGCTGCTCCCCCTGAGAGCTTTGAGGGGCTGATCCCCTATTATTTTTGGGGGGGTTGAGGAGCTGATTCCCTGTGTGGTTTGAGGGCAGTGAGGGGATGATTCCTGTGAGGTTTTGGGGGGCTGATCCCCTGTGAGGATCCGAGGGGATTGAGGGGCCGTTCCCTGGCGGTTTGAGGGGGCTGAGGGCTGATCCCCTGTGAAGCTCCTAGGGGACTGAGGGGGGCTGTTCCCTGTGCACTTTGAGGGTGCTGCGACTCTCACCCTCCCACTAGGGCTGTTCCGCCGGGGGCCCCATCGCACCGCAGCCTTTCTCCTCTCGCCGCTGCACGCTACGGGAAGCGCTGACAGCTTTCGCAAGCGACACCTTCCGAAGCGCCTGTGCCGGGGCAGAGCCAGGTCGTTCCTCGTCACACCTCCTTCCTCTGCGGCCGCGGAGCCAACCCGGAGCCGAGGAGGCACCGGCGCGGCCGCGGTGCTGCAGAGCCCCGGCCATCGCAGCCGCTGCGGCTCCCCCTCAGCCGCCCCTGAGGGCACGCGCGACGGCGCCGCCGGGCGGGCGGGCGGGAGCGGGGGGCTCGGCGTTGGCCAATCAGAGCCCCGCCCCGGCCTCCCCGCGCCCCACGTGACGCGGCGCGCGCGCCCCACGTGACCCGCGATGGAGGCTGCGGCGGCGGCGGCGGGGCGGGCGCGCGGCCGCCGCCTCCTCCTCCCCCCGCCCCCCCCGGGCGGCCCCGCCCCCCCTCCCCCGTCGGTAGCGGCTCCGGCGGGCGCCGCCGCGGCCATGGACTGAGCGGCACCATGGGCGCCAAGGAGTCCCGCATCGGCTTCCTCGGCTACGACGAGGCCCTGCGGAGGGGTAAGGGAGGCGGCGGCGGGGACGGGAGGCTGGGTGGAGGTTGGCGGGGAGGGGTGCGGGGGCCCTGCGCTGCCCCCCGCCAGCGGGCGGTGAGGCGGCACCTCCATGACGGACCCCGCGCGGAGGCACTCGCGCCGTTCGGGGGCTCCTTCCCCGCTGCCTTCGCCCCTCCGCCCCGCCGTTTATTTATTTATCTGATCTATTTATTTATTTATCTCTCTCCCCTTCTTTAAGGCGGCCCCGGCAGGGCCCGGTGCCGTGCCCTCCCCGCCGCCCCTCGGCCCGGCCTCCGCCTGTGGCCGGCCGGCATGAGGCGGGCAGCGCCGTGCTCCCGGTGTGGCGGGGCTGTCAGCCGGCTCCCGGCCCTCCCGCTCCTCGTGTTTACCTCCCCGTGCTCGGGGATCACGCAGCTGCGGCTCCGCATGGCAAGATGGATGTGGCGTGCGTGGCCCGGGCTCGGTGTCGCCGCTTTAGCCCGGTTTAGGGTCCTCCCGGAGGATTTAAAGAGCAACTAGCGAAGGGAAAACATAAACAAGCTGAACGGGGAGCGCTCGCAGCTGCGGGGCTCCAAGGCGACGGCAAGCTACACCCTGGGAGCTCCCTGGCTCTGGAAGCGATAGCCAAGTCCAAGGACAAAGAGGGACGGGAATTGTCAGCAGTAAATGCTGTGCAGGCAGGACAGGTGTCGGTAATTGTTGCCCTGTTGTGCGTTCCCGTGATGCAGCGCAGGTAAAGCAGCTCACCTGTTTGATATTTAAAGCCCTGATAAAATTCATAAGCTCGAGCCAGTCTATGGCTGCCCTTTTTATTCCTGCTCGCATGTGAGAGGCATGTCAGGAGTGATAAGGGAGAACTGGGAGGAACCGCTGGGTGTTAACTGAAAAAGAAACAAATTGACGTGAAATGGGGGTTTTGTTAAATATTTTCTTTTTTCTTTTTTTTTTCTGGTGGAGCCTCTGAGGGATGCCATGTCAGATAGGAAATGGAGCAACGTAGTGTCAAGCAGGAGAAACAAACGTATGATTCAAAGTCACTTGTTACAGATTTTAAACATAACAGCCCTGAAGGATTTTCACTGCTAGTGAAAGTATGGGAAGTCTTTGAAAGCTCTGGTGCACGTATTTTTAGAAGAGCTGGAGTTATAAATGCAGCTTGGTAGAGGTGTGAAGTTAAATATATCAGGGAGCGTTTGAAATAAGCTGTTTGGTGGAGAATACAGTCATTTGGTCACAATGTATATTCCAGAGTTCCTAAATAAGAAAAAACAAGTGTTTTGAATTTTAAAGTTAGATTTAAACTCTTACATTGCTTCAAAATCAAGGCAGTTGTTCTTGATGCTTCATAATTAATAAGATTGATTTCTTCTTAATAAGAACTTATTTCTGTGCAGTGAATATAATGCTTTTCTTTGTTTTTTTTTTGGATGTTTTTCTTCTCTATATGAGACCTTCAATACTGTTTTTCTGTAGGAGACCAGGAAGGTTGTTTTAGGCACTCTGTTATAAATTGATGTTTTGCTAAATAACTATGTTGTTTACTTAACCAGTGAATCACTGTATGTATAAAACAGGCCAGTTATCAAAACATTATTTGTTAGACCATTCCTACTTCCACAGAACCTTGCTGGTACTTGTGGCATTTCTGTGGACACAAGCAGAGATAATGGACGAACGTAAATGTTAAAGAAAATCAAATACATTTATCTCCAGTTAGATCCACCTTCTCTAACACTGTTTCCTGGTTCTTAAATGGTGAGAAAGTTTTGGATTAGGTGGTATTTGTGCAGATTTTTCTGCTGGGAATTCTTTATGAGCAATCAGTGCTGGTTATCTGTACTTGTGGTAGTCACTCAGAGTGTTGTGATCGTATTTTTGAGTCACCAGTTTGAATTTCAGTTGTTCAGAATATCTGGAAAAAATGCTGCTTCTGTCAGCTTCAGAAAATAGGGCTGACTTTTCAGCAGCTTCATTTATTGCAATTCCATTTTGGTAGTAAGCAAAGGTTGTGAAGGTGAGGGGAGTTGTGGTTAAAGGCTCACAATATAAATAACAGTAGCTAAACTGTAACTTCTGCTGAAGGAGATGAAAGTGCCAGAGCAGCCTGGGCTGGTGGCCTGTTCCACCCTTGAACAGGAGGCAGTCCTGCTGTTTCATTTTCCCCTTTTTCCTTGGCACAGGCAGCTGACAGTGCCGTGGTGACGTGGCCCTGAGGATGGGCACGCTGGAGCTGTGCTGTCCCCACCAGTGCAGGTCACAGGAGTGGCACAGCCTCCCTGAGATCTGTCTGCCTGCAGTGGAAAGCAGGATGCTATTTTAGACATCTCTTTTTATGAATTTTGCCAATTGTGGTCATCTTATTTATAGTAGCCAGAGGCACAGAGTGGTGTTGCTGTGGAAAAGGTATGAGATGAGAAGTGAGGAGAGCTATTCCTGACCCCTCAGACCTCTTTCTGAGGATGGATTCTTTGTGAGGAGATGAAATCCTTGGGCAGGTCATTAGAGGTGAAGTCAGAAGTGCTTTGTTCCAAACTGAGCATAAAATTGTCAGTTATTTTATCAAACTGAATTTGTGGTGGCATGAACTGGTACTGTGGCTCTTGAGCTTGTTGCTTTTTTCTTAGCCAACAGCAATTTTCTGCTAAGGGCAGTGCTGTAAGTCAGCCAGTTCTTGTTTTGGTGGATTTTCCAATGTTTGTCCCTGATTTCCCACTCCTGTCCTACCAGTGTGTCCATCAGGCTGGCTGGGTGCTCTGGCCTTGCCAGGGAGATGGTGCTCTAAAATCTGCCTTATCTTTTAGCTTTCCTGATGCCAGTCTTGATACCCAATTCCTCAAACATCTCTCTTTATAAAAACTTAATAAAGAATTTTATCACTATTGTATTAACTCCTGTATCAGCACAGCAGCTCCTTCACTGTCCTGTGTTGTATATGCAATATTTTAATAAGAATTCTGGGAAAGAGTTTCCTGTGTGGTATTGGTGGCCAGTTTATCTCAGATCCCTGTGGACTGTATTTTTCAGTGGCTGTTAATGTGTTTTGCTTCAGTAACTTTGAGAGGATAATTGTAGTCTGAGCATAAATTTATGGAGGTACTTGTGAATTAGGAAACTGTAGAATCTGTAGTCCAAGTCTGTGTGAATGCTGCTTAGAGCAGGTGTAATTCAGGCCATTTCCAGCTAAATTATCTATGCTAAATATTGAGTCAGGAAACCACTTAAAAGAAATGTTGGTGCATAATCATGGATCTGTCAAATTTGGGCCAGAGAGGAAGGCAGAGTTTTCCTTCTACTCAAAGCAAGGTAAAATTTTTGTTTCATGAATGCACCACATCAGCATGGTCAGTGAGCGTAGAATTTGGAGAAATGAGTGACTGCTGATAAATCCATTTAATTGTGTTTGGTCCCGTGCTCAGTGATCTCTGAGAAAAAGAGCAGAATGAAAGCACAGAAACAGTGCTGGTGTTAGAAAATGTACATGCAGCTGAAATGCCAGCTCTCAGCGAGGCAGAGCTTGCAGGTGTAGGAATTGCACAGGTTTTGCCTCTGGAGAGTTCATGGCATGGTGGTTTTTAGAGCAGTTTTCTTCCTTGGTTTTGTGTCTCTGAGATGGCACCAGCTGGAGAGCACCAAAGTAACAAAAACCCCCAAAACCCACGAGGAGCTTGGTGAGTGTGTGCAGTAATGAGTAATGTGTGATGGGCAGGGATAAATCTTGCTAATGACCTTTTGTGTCTTGATTGAATTTGAAAAATAGCTACATTTGTTTTATTTAAATCAAGGCAAATATATCTGGTGTCTGATCATTAACATCCTCCAGCGTTCAGATGTCATAAACGTGACAGGAGGATGATGGAAAACTTGTGCAAATATATCATCATCTAGTTGAGGGTGTCGATCTCAGCCTGGTGACAAATCCATGGACTCAGCCCTTCAGCCCATGGAAAACTGCTTTTTATTACTCCTGATGATGAAATTAACTTTTTAAATCCCAGCCATCTTTTAGGAAAAACACTCAGGGAACCATTTTGGTAGTTTATTCTCTTCTTTCTGCATTCCATGAAGGAGAGTGTTCTGCTTTATTTTCTCTCAAAAACCAGAGCTTGACCATGATAGAGAGGTGAAGGTTCTTTGGGATATGTTGTTTTTTAATGGTACAAACCTGTGCTTTTCTGAGCCTTGAGTTCCAGAGGCATGTGCTGAAAATGCCTAGAAGTCTCTCAGCCTTTTTTTTTTGAGCTATCAGAATGAATAGAATCCACTGTGGAGACAGTCTGGATTCTACAGCGAGGCTTGTTCTGTCAGCCAGTATTTGATGGCTTCAGGGCTCTGTCATATGATGAAAGCAGGTATGAATGCAGAGCTTCACACTTCCTGTTTATAGAGCTGCAAGTGGCTGCTCAAATGCACAGAGCAGTAATTATTTCACAACTCTGGCATTCAGTTGTGGTGCTTGTTTTGGGAGGGCACCTCAGCAGGCTCTGCTGAACATGTATTTCAAAGGCAGGAGTGACTGGGGGAATTCTGCTGAAACTTCCATGAACTGGTGAGAAGATGCTCCTTAGAATCACAGACTGGTTTGGGTTGGGAGGAACCTCAGAGAGCATCTTGTTCCACCCTCCTGCCATGGACACCTTCCATGAGACCAGGTTGCTCCAGCTGGCCTTGGACACTTCTGTGAGCAGCCTGTGCCAGGGCCTCACCACTCACAGGGAGGAATTTTCCTCATATCCAATGTAACCCACTCTGTGTCAGCGTGCAGCCATTCCCCTTGTCCTGGCACTCCCTGTGTTTCCTGTCAGCTCCTTCAGGTACTGGGGGGCTGCAATGAGGTCACCCCAAAGCTTCTCTTCTCCAGGCTGAACCATCCCGGTTCCCTCCCCCTTTCCTCCCAGCAGAGCTGCTCCATCCCTCTGATCATCTGGACTGGCTCCAGCAGCTCCTTCTGGGTTGTCCCTCAGGGCTGGGGGCAGCTGTGCAGGTGGGATCCCCCCTGAGGGATCA